TCCCTTGTGGTGTCGGTTGCTATATAAATATACCATATAACTGTCGTATATATGCTTGATACCGAGGTGCTCATCCTGATTTTCTTATTGATACGTATGACGTAATTAATTTTATACAACTATAGTGTAGAAAAGTTACGAACCTTTGTATATATATTTCGATATTTTTTCTTATAACATTTTCTATTGAACTGTTCTTAGAGGAGAATTATTTTGAAATAGTTTTGTATTTGGAAAATATTAGAGAAAATAAATATTTTTTTATTTTAGGAAAGATGTAATATTCGATATTTTTTTATGTACTTGACGTATATTTTTTTTGTTTTTTTTTAAGAAAGATTTTTTAGGTGGTTATGTATTTGAAAAGTTTAGCTTTGTTGAATATTGCATTAGAAGTCACATTTACGTAGATAAATAGAAAAATAATTTTACCTTATTTTAATTTGACACGAGGTACAAATGTGTGGCATAACCACAATAAGGTTGCATTAAAGCAGCGAAAAATTTCGCTCTGAATACCGTTATAAAGAGGCCAGAGGTCAGGCCAGTTAATTCAACTTATAGATGTGAAGTCTCTTATTTGCGATTATTCTCCTTTCGTTAACTTGGAAACAAAGAAATTGCAGTATTATAAAAATTGCACGTTATATTTCATTTATACATATTATAATTTCTGTAATATATTGCTATAATTAACACCAGGGATAAATCTACTTTACCAGCAAGAGGTACCGGGATATCACGAGAACGTTGCATTCATCTCATCGATACCGCAACCGTTTTACCACACCTTTAGGCTATGTTCGGAAACATCACTCGAGTGACTCCGTATATCATTTTATCCTTGTTGTTTACCCAACGTTAAACAAAGATAAGTTGATACACGGGATCATCCGGGTGACATTTTTAACATTATTATCTTATAGTGGTCGTTGATACTTTTCAGTGATAATTCTTCCAGAGAAATTATTTTAGAATAAATTTTATTTCGCACCAAGAAAAACAGAACGCAAATTTTTGAGGGTATTTTGAATATAAAATGTTGATACAGATTGTCGATTATTTTTTTATCTATACTCTGCAATGAGTTTCAAGATTTGCTTTACTCGTGATATATGATAAGACACGTGCGAGAACGACATGTCATCGCTGGCTGCGCAATGATAATTTACACAAATGTACTCTGCGAATCGCACGTCGATCTCGATTTTGCAACGGTTGATTTTGCACGTTATGCATCTTTGAACTTACTCATGACATGAATTCATTTATTTATAGAACTATATTCATGGACAAATATTGTTTTATTGCTAAGAAAAGTAATAAATCAATTTTTCTTTCTTTTAAGTAACAGTTATCTTTAATAAAGAATAATTTCTTAATATATATGTACTCTTATTATGACTTTTAATCAAACTCATTATTATGTACTTAAAACAAGAATTTATTTTCTTTTGAAGAATATTAGAAAATTGATCGAAGAAACTATTTTATATAATTTAATTTGTTGAAACATCAAACTTACTAGAATTCAGAATATATAAATAAATTTTATGCTTTTTTGTGATAAACTGTAATAAATTACATAAACTTTTGAAATATTTGAAACAAGTAATTATTATTTGCGTACAATATATATTTTTCTGTATGTACACCCTGCAAAAATGTATAATCTTTTCAAGAAATTTAAATATTTATGATATATACAGGGTGGGCCATCTATTGGTACGTTTTTACAGAGTGGGCCATCTATTGGTACGTTTTTAAAAATGCGATCAAATGAGCATACATTGATATT